GAAAAGCCAAATCATTTAGGTAAATATGGAATGCAGATTCAGCTGTCACTATAAGTTTGAAAATCATCCATTTATTTCTCATGTGGCTATGCTGTAACTTGATAGTACATTTATTAATTTCTGGTCTTCTTTTATACTAACTTAACAGTACTTTCTGGGACTAATCTTGTGAGGTAAGTACACACTGTCTGACTAATTAATACTATAATTTTACAATATCATATCAATATATAATATTTTACTTTTGCTTTTTTTTTACAGCTCTGAGAATGAGAATGGCAAAACTGGGGAAAAAGGTGATTTAAGCAGCTGCAGTGATATAATGCTAAAAGTCTGGCAGTTTAACAAAAGCAAAAGAATAATTTTCTATGTTTTGGACCTGGGTAGCTTTTACTTACTCAACTATACATCCATAAGAATAATGGCACTTTACAGGAAAATGAATGTTTGCCAGTCCTGATATATGGATACTCTGATCCATAAATGAATATTGTTAAAACTGTGTGTTCCTCAAGGAATTATTAGTGGCATTTGTTAGGCATTTGTCAGCCTTGTTGTATTTTATAAGAGCTGAAGGGTCATTGTCATGAATACAAATGCATCTCGTTTTGTTGAAGGAGTCTTCTCAATCTTCTTCTCTGACTACACCTAAACATGAATGTAGGATACATGCTGACTTTCCAATTACTAAACTCTATTCCATTTCAGCAGTGGTTTTCAAACTTGACAAAAGCATTCTCCATGTGTGTTTGATATTGGAAGCTGATGACCTCCAGCATAGCCAGCAGAAGCTGTGTCATTTACCAACAATTCACTTATAAAGAATAAGAGCTTTATTATGGCTGGTAGATAAAGCCATTAAAGTACCCCTAATATCAATAGTAATGTATCCTGGAGAGGCAGCCATCTCATTTTCCTTTGAACATTGGAAAATGCCCCATTGTTTGGGAAATGTGGGCCACTCTATCCATGTCATTTGCTTGCTATATTGCTGTCTGTGTTTATTGCTCATCTTTGGAATTTAGCCAGTAAGGCATCCTTGTCCAATAGTTCATTTCCTCTAGCCCCCTGATAAAAAGTTTGCTTTTGAGCTGACATACCTCTCTCCCAGTTTTGTTACCGAATCTTGCATTTATCATCAAAGTATCTCAATACTTAGTCACTCGCCATTATTCAGAAACTGGGTTATAAAAATCACACTGGCCATCAGTATCTGCTTCTGAATGCAGCTTGGCCCAGAAATCAAAATGTTCTATTATGATATATGCAAAGCTTTCTTGTTTGGTTGAGTCTGTATGTTTGGATACAGTATTTCATATTTGTGTTCTGAAAAATATTCAGTGTAATTCAGATGTTTTGTTAATATTATGCATTTTCCAAATGTATTTCTCTTGGAAAGTTTAGACTACTGTGGACAACTTCAACATGACTAGCTATGGCTATAAACCTGATCAATAGCACCACACAGTGTCTCAATTGTGGAAATGTTATTTTGGTGTATTTAAGAGTCCAATCTAAAAATACTTCAGAAGGCACTATGCATGTTTCCTAGGAATGAAAGAGGCTAGTGAAAAGGCCAAAATGGAATTAAAATGCACTTATTCTGTGGGAAATATATGAATAATACATTATACACGAGACTACGAAGCTATCTTCTTCCCCAAAAGAAAACTCGGTCAAAGCCTATTTAAAATACACTAGTACAAATGATATTTTCTATGTTGCTTATATATTTGTGATGAAAAATATGATGAAAATTTTCTTTTTCCATAATCTACCTATTCTGACTTCTAGTTGTTTACATAGGATTATATTGCAAATCATTCGCAAGCCTGCTTATAATTTTCTAATGGAAGCTGTTATCACCTTACTAATAATTTCCGATCTAAAAGCAAGATTGGAACCAGCAGTATTTTAAAATAACTACAAGGGTCTTAGACGGAATTTTGTGTCTTGAAAGAACTAGCAAGTTTTTCTTCTCATTTCTAGACATCACAATTCTCACAGATTTATTATTTTAATGTTATCTTTATTAAGTTTTCAGACACTGATTCATAGGTGATGGGTACAGTTGCTGCCTAGAGAAAAATATCTAGCAAAATTACATTACATAAATACGTCATAGAAATTTAAGAAGATATGACACTCTACTTAACATAATAGGTGAACAAACTCTTTAATGGCAAATATACTTGCAGCAAATACGGTAGTAATATGACTAGCAGCTATATATTTCATTCAACGCTGCTTAGAAGTTATAAAGAAATTCCCTTCAAGAACTGGGACAAGAATTTCATAAAATTAAAAATATTAAATCTTTGGTGTGCAATATACATCTATAAAACTACAGTGTTGCTGGTCACGGACATCATTTTTATGGAGCATACTAATGGAAACAGTCTAACACCAAGGAGACTGAGCTGAAAGATTTTCCTGGAGCCTCTTTAGGATCAGAGTCATACATTCAACATACATACATTCAACTTCTTCTCTAGAGGTTCTTCTAACCCTGTAGAACACATACACAGGTCTGTAACAAAAGGGTCACCAATGGATGAATACAATTAGAGATCATCCTAACTTTAGAAACAATATGTTAGGCATTATTCATTAAATACATGCTAAAGAGGACAATCTGTATAGTACCTAGCTATTTTCAAGAGAAAGAGGTAGTCTACAAACATATTCAAGTGTTTAGAAGTGTCAAGAAACAATAATGTTCAAACAATTGTCATCACTCTTGGAATAATGTGTTATTGCACATCTCAATCAATCTAAAAATCTGTAATAAATACTTCCAAAGAGTGTTCTCCTCATACAAATATCTTGAATTCAAAAAAAATCCAGGTAAAGGAGCTTCTTCTAAAAATGTCTGTACTTGGAGATGGGCTTCATAATACTGAAATAGTGATTATTTGTGTGTAACAGGGAGGGAAGACAAAATGTAGGAAACACGAGACACATGCAGCAGCATCTTTGGGGCAGATTCTTATCAACACCAAGAAAGTTTGCTCTTCAATGGCTGTGTGGTGAAGAGTTGTTCTCACATCTTGGAGATAAGTTTCGTTGACAGATATGAAATCTAGTAAGAAGTTATTTTGAACTGTAATGACAAAGTCTTTAGTCACGGCTTTTTGAGGAATCATACTTGCACAACTGCTGTTATGAAGGTGACAAGAAATGCTATGTTGCCACAAATGTAGATGAACAGCATTGTTTTTTTAAATGTATGGCCCTGGGGGGAGAAAAGGGAGAAAAGAAAAATTGTTTACTCATTTATGAAATGATTAAACCACATCAGAAAAAGGCATGTCTGTAATTATTCTTGATGGTAGTGGTAGAAATGAAAGAAAGAGTATTAGAAAGTTAATCTGTGAAAAACAATACTAGCATTTCAAGGATGATAAAATTAACAGGATCATCTGTTAATGAAAAATCATCTGAAAATGAAAAATACTAGCCGAGACATGACCCCCAGAGAGGCTTCCCTTTCCTAAGGAGAAAAAGAAGTATTCATATGCTGTAAGCCTATTGTCATAAAATAATATAGATCTTAGGTGTTTCATGTTAAAACAAAGTAAGTTTGTCTTTCCATTCACTTCACCATCTGACAAAGTGCTACGCTTACCTGGGCTTCTGCAGAAGATATGGATTGCAATATTTGTACCCTGTCATCCTCCAACACCTCAACTGTAAAAGAGAAGTATAATTAAAGCTATTCTGCAGGAAAGCTTTCTTCCGTTCACTCACATACATACTATCACCTTAAATCAGTGTTTCTCAACCATGGCAACTTTAAGATGTATGGAGTTCAATTCTCGGAATTCCCCAAAATAAAAGAAATACTTTATCCAAAAAGATAATATTGTACATACAAACCATACAACATACTAGGTTCACTGTAATACGACCACTCATCCATTCACAGTCCAATATAGATCTATTTAATAGGATATGTTTGAAATTCATTATGTTTGTATAGAGAAGGGGAGATCGTTTTTTTTCCTCTTAAAATGTGTTGCCTTTTAAGTTTCACATTGGATGGCCCCCAGGAGGTCAAACATAGGCCTTTAGAGACAAATATAATTACAATTCTGCCTTTTTTTCTATATAGCTCTTTGTTCCAATTTGCAATAACTGCCCCCATAAAGGCATTTGGGGGGAAAAAATCCTTCCTGCCATTTGTTGCATTACAAAAATAAAATACTGGCCATAATGGCTGTGGATGGCTTCATCTGAAAAATGGCAGAGTGTCTCATGTATAAATCTCTATATGTACATGTATACACACAGAGATATTAAGTGTGGCTATAGGAGAAAGAATACTCGTCCATTTAAATGCTACTTAAAACCTGCCCTTTCGTAGCAAGTCAGCCTTTTTATTGGCATTCTCTGAATGTCAGCACAGTGCTATTTTCTGTACAGTAACTAGCTGTCCAAATGACACAGCATTATAGTTTTCTAGCAGGAGAGGTGAATTGGGATTTCTCTTTCACCTCCTCACCTGAAAATACTATTTGGATTCCAAAACGCTATTTTTCTCTGTTAACAGAAGCCAAACAATGAAATTCTCTTGGTCTATTTGAACAGCAACAAGACAAAGTGGTGGAATTCCCTCCCTGAAGTTTTACATCATGATTATTATGTTTTGTGGCATCGCAGGTTTCTAATTAAGAACAGATTTTTGTTCATAGGCAGTTTTGCACAGCAAAACCTCACCTCGCTAAAATTAACAATTCAGTACTTTACGAAAGAGTAAATATAAATCTTTGTGTAACAAGGCAACCAAACTCAATGATTAAAATATTGAGCTGCCTATTGTTCCTGTGACTTGCATAGGAATGTGTCACAGGAAAAAGTGTACAAAGTAATCACAAATAGCAAAAGCCAAGATCTTCCAGAAAGCCACCCCTGCCCTGCCAAAACACACACACACACACAAAAAAACCAGAAAAATTGTACTTTTGTAACTTGATTATTCTCCATGCAAACCTTTGCGGATGAGGCAGTAGCCGTGTAACTCCAGAAGCATATCAATCCCAACATGCCAAGCTACAAATCCAATCATTACGTAAGTATCCCATGGAGGAAGGTCGAGAGCTGCCAAGTCCATTCCCAGGAATATTGTTACCACTAGTTAAGAACAAGACCAAATTTAGATTCCTTTCTGAGGCATTCAAAAAGTACTGTGCACCAAAACGTTCATTCAAATCTTTTGCAGAGATGGAATTAGGGAGCATTGGGGCATGCTTGTTTCCCTGGGGGAACTTTCTTTTTTTTTTCTTTTCTTGGTTTTTTTGTTATAAATTTTTATTGGTTTCTAAAAACAAACATAAACAAACAAAACATAAAAACATCAAGCCATTTTCCATATGCGTACATACAGTGTGCCGGTTGGTTTACCAATTGTTTTGTGCTTCCATTTCTTAGTCTTCAATTACAATTACATTGCATATACTCTCGTATTTTCAATCAAAAATTAAATACTTTAGTATCATTATTAATCAATCACTTAACTATACTTTTAATCATTCATGTTTTACAAGATAATCATAATTTACTTAGTTTGTTTTATAACAGTTCATATTATCATCCCAAATCTATCCTAAAATCATTTTGTAGATATAATAAGAAAGAAGTACATCTTTGTATATTTATTATTTTCTAAGAGTCTACATATTTCATCACTGTATTTTATTGTCTAACCATTGATAGAATAGATCCCAAATTTTATAAAACTGTTTATCCTCTTGTTCTCTAATTTCAAATGTCAAAACTACTCATTTCAGCACATTCCAATATTTTCTTAATGATTTCCTCCTGTGATGGCCTTTTCTCATTTTTCCAGTTTTTAGCAAATACAATCCTAGCCGCTGTTAATACCTGGGGGAACTTTACATCCTCTCCACTTCAATAGGCAGTGCTGCAGAGCCTTTAAATCAGAGAATCCCAACGTTTTTTTACCATCTACTCCACATAAAATCTCGGGAGCGTTTGTGGGCATTCTCACAAAACTGGCTCCCACCATCCCATTTACCAGGATGCTCTGCTTCTTTGGCTTCTCTCTTCGATTGAAGCATTTGGGCAGATTTATTTCCGTGAGCTGAACCCTAATTTCTGCTCAGACACTGAGTTCCAGTCCTCTGCTGTTTTTATTTTCTGAGAATATCTTTAAAGTATATGTGAGGCCCAGAATCACTGCAGTAAATAAAGATTATACCAGGCAGTTTTATTTTGCAGGTTGCTAGCTTCCCATTCTTTAAATGATCTAAATGCACTACTGTACTAGACGGAACTTTTATAGCTGTAGTTGGGATTATAACCAGTAGAGCGAAATCCCATATGCCACAGTAGCATTTTGCAAACCGGTGCCTACTAGATATGTTAAATGCAACTCCCTGAATTCTGAGATTATGCTGAATGGAGAATAGTCAGAGAGTGGTCCAACACATCTGGAAAGCAACAAATTGCATTAGAGGAATTTCAAGCAGTCAGCAGAGAGCAGAAAAGTGGCTTTTTCCTCTTATGTGACATGCAGCTGTACACGGAAGAGTTAAAATAGGAAACTCACCAGCTAATATTCTAGCAGTTGTGCCGGCACTCCAATGTAACCAGTTGAAAATCTGCCTTCTGTCCCCAGAAAGGAAAAAAGAAGTCATTTCTTATTTCAAGGAAAGGAAAGGGAAAAGGAAAGGAGAAAGGAAAGGAGAAAGGAAAGGAAAGGATAGAAAAGGAGAAAGGAAAGAAAAGGAAAGAAAAGGAGAAAGGAAATGAAAGGAAAGGAAAGGAGAAAGGAAAGGAAAGGAGAAAGGAAAAGGAAAGGAAAAGGAAAGGAAAGAAAAGGAAAGGAAAGGGAGGGGGGAAGGGAAGCAGAAATATATTATGGATTTTCATTTAAACATTTATACAAGCTGGAAAAAATAGTGTCTGCAGAAGACCTTTGGAGGTTTGCAGGGGCTAAATTCCTAAGATAAAAGGCACAGAATAAGGTACTTCCACATGTGTTAAATGAAGTCCCTATAATTCCCAACCTGCAGGTCCAAACTGGCCAACATCAATACTTGGCTGATAATTCTAGAAGGTAGTTTGGCATCGAAAGGATACTAAGCTGAATGATCATTTAAATCTTCCAATAACCTACTAACAATTTTGTTAAGAAACATTTGAGCAATTAAGAGTACAGTACAAAATCAGAATACCTTGGTGCTTGTAGAGGGGGTCTGAACGCTGCTATAAGAGACTGAAAAAGTGCCAGAGCCATCACAGTGCTGCCAAAATAGGGGTGAAAACCTGCTTGCTATATTAAAAAAAATGAATGTTAGTTATAATTAGGTGTTTTATGTACTTCGCTTATTTAAAAGATTTACTGTACATAGCTGTCCTATGTTACAAAGCATAACCCTGGGAAGCTTACAAATAATAATAAAAATTAAAAAACATTAAACCAGCATAAACACCCCACAAAACAGCCCTTGGTTTTCAAAGATTTAGTGAGGATCAAGAAGGTAGGGACCAGCCACTGGATCCCAAGGATGTTCCAAACTTGGCAAGCAGCACAATCGTTTTCCTTTTTTGCAACATACATATCACAACAGTAACTTTAGAATACTGTCTTACATTTAAACAGGGGATAAGGACAGAATACCAAGCCCTTGAAATAAGATTTAAATGATTGTTGTTAAGATTTTAAGCAAATAAATCCATATTTATCTTGTCACTTACTTTATTCCAGCCTCCTCGATATATAAAAGGAAGAACAAAAGATATGCTTGTGAGCAATATTGTTATTATCATTAAGGAACGATGGATCTAGAAAAGTTATATTAAAAAAAATAATATTAGGAAATGCTAAAGAGTAGCCTATTACACATATTCTATTACTAAGAACGTTTGATAGAAAATTCATCAGTTAAGAATAGAACAAACAAGCAAACTCTGGTATAAGACCTTTTCTAAGGCTTTAAAATCTTGACTATGTACTCAGGCCTGGGTCTTGGAATATGCTAAGGGCTCCATTTCCTAGATTTACTGTTAGTTGGCTAAGTATCTCATCAGCTGAATGAATTTTTGGATGTTTTTATTGTTTCTGGTTGTTTTAACTGTTTTATAGTTTTAGAATTGTAAGTTACCAGCGTCATCCTTATCGCCCTCCCACTTGTGACTGTATGACTCTAACTTTGTCACTTATATCCTTACTATTTATATTGACTGTTTCCTAGTATGATTTGATTGCTTATTGTACCCTACGACTATTATTAAGTGTTGTACCTGATGATTCTTGACTCTTGACGAATGTATCTTTTCTTTTATATATACTGAGAGCATTTGCACCAAGACAAATTCCTTGTGTGTCCAATCACACTTGGCCAATAAAGAATTTTCTCCTCTCCTCTCCTCTCCTCTCCTCTCCTCTCCCTCTCCTCTCACTCTACTCTACTCTACTCTACTCTACTCTACTCTACTCTACTCTACTCTATTTATTTGGCTGAGACAGGCAGCTAGTAGAAATTAAATAAATAAATGAATAAAAATAAATAATAGTAAAACATTGCCAGACATATTTTGTATGCATCAATAGAGAATAAAAACTCTCCACAATTCATTTTCCCCACCTGAAACCAAATCTCTTCTCCAAACAGTAGAGTATTAGTCCAGACAGGCTTGAAAAACCGGGCAACGATCACCCCTATGCTAACTGTAGTTATCCATCCAATAAACATTAATGCACCTGAAAGGAAAAAAAATACAAGACACTTGATAATGACTTGAGTTGCAGTGCTAAGAAGCACTTGCTCTTAAAAATACGTTTCCATTTTATTTCAGAGTTGGAGAAGAGCAAGAGACTGTATTCAAGTCATTTTAGCTGCCTTCTTCCCTTATTTATTCTATTGCAAGCTAATCATTGCACTGTATTTTGTTTGCAGATTTTGAATATCCACAAGATGTCCAAATGGCCAAAAAGATATTTCCATAGTATTTTCCCAAATTTCCCTGCAATGTTTTCTGGAGCAAAACAACTTTCTTTGGAAGTGAAGACAAAATAAAATAATCAAATCTTTGTGAGCTATCCGGCCTGTTAGGCAATAACAATTGGACCTCTTCATACAACTCCACCCCAAGCCATCACACAACAAGAGCCTCATTTTGTACATATGCATTTTATAGTGTTTTACAAAAATTAAACTTGCCATGGATTTTGATCAGGAATGGAGAGCGGGATCCTCCAATATCTTTTAATGGACTTAGAATGTTGTATTTTCTGTTTGTAATCAGAGGCTGTTGGTGGTGTTTGTAGATTGCACCTCCTGGGGGGGAGGAGAGAGAGGAGGGGACAATAATAGATTATACACTATCAGCAAAGGAAGAGTAAATAACATTCTCTCCACCGGTGAAGACTTCAGAAAAGAAATCGTTTGCTGAAGAGACTGGGTTCTCTATGTGGTTCCAATTTGCTACCCAAAGTCAACCCCGCAAATGTTTCTAGGTGAAAATTAGCATTTTAGTGCATTCCACGTGTTGACATTATATTGATCCTTTGCCATGGAAAAATTAACAACAGTATGTGTTAGGAATAACAAGGTTACCTAATGTAGTTTGGGTAAAATAATATATATATAAACTATGATTGTAAGTTTAAGTGTGTGTCACTTTAAACTGCAAAGCATGTAATTTTGGGTGCGGTTGTGAAACCGCCATAAGAGGGAGCAAGAGAACCTGCTGGATTGCTGGTTTGCTAACTGCGTGTTCCCTACTGCTGAGTTGCTGAACGTTGAAGGAAGAAAGGAGGTTTGACTTATTCATATCTCTACTGCGAGGAGATATATTACTGGACTGATATTTGTAAGTTTACTGACCTCTTTTTCGACACTGGACTTTGCAACTGAATAATCCCCGGACGGACTGAACTAGTGAATGATACATGGACTGTTTGACTATGCTAAAACTCTTACTGGAATAAACTATTTAACTAGCACAGCATATCTGTTTTACTGAGTGTAAGCTACAAAAACATTTATCTCACATATTTCACCTGCCTGCCTGACTGCTGTGCACATTCTGCTAGGGTGTATCCCTAACAGTATGCAATAATATCATAATTATCAGTATGCTGTTTATCTCTGCTGCAAGACATTTAGGTGGTGCTATGAATTTAGGTGATCCTGTCTCAATGTCTGAAGGGTGTGGACCAACCTAGTGGCTTTGGGTTTTGGGAACCCCCGATTCTGGGGACATTCCATCTCTTGTTCTGGATGGGGTTGCACAAGCATCAGCAGGACCCTGTGCACAATTTGGGGGGTCTCTCTGGCTCCTAGTGTATTCAAGGGACAAGTGGCAGCTGTGACCAGGAACAACTTTACCTAACTGTGTGTTGCATGCCAGTAGCACCCATTGCTGGCCTGGGAGGCCCTGCCCACAATCAATCACACATCCCATGTGGACAATTACAATGCACTCTACAGGAGGCTGCCCTTGAAAAGTATTGGAAACTTCAGCTTATGCAGAATGCAGCTATGCGAGTGGGTATTGTGCACTCTTCATTCGGCACAAGTTACACCTCTACTCTGCAAGTAGTATTTATTGGTTATCGGTTTGCTTCTGGATTCAATTCAAGGTGCTGGTGATGACCCTTTAGGTTACTTGAAGGATCACCTCTCTCCAACTATATCTGTCTACATCTAACAAAGGTATGCTCTACATTGCACCTACTAGGGACGTCATCTGGTGAGGCCCAGGAAAAGATCTTTTCTGTTGTGTTCCATCCTTTGAAACATTATCCCCCTAGATTAGCCCCAATCCTACTAGAATTGCATAGGGCCTAAGAGACTTGGTTTTGCTACTGGTGTGGGGAACTGAGCGTGGATAGTGCCCTTACGGTGGCTATGTTGATTATTGTTGATGAGTTTTGGTATGACTTGACTTTGAACTGTGTTTTTACATGGTTTTTATATTGTTCTTACCACTTAAGGGTTTTTTTTTATTATTGGGTTTTTCATATTGCTTTTAATTGCTCTGAGCCATCCAGAGTATTCTATTTGAAATGAATGGCTATATGAATTGAAATAATACATAAATACACTGCTCAAAAAAATAAAGGGAACACTTAAACAACACAATGTAACTCCAAGTCAATCACACTTCTGTGAAATCAAACTGTCCACTTAGGTAGCAACACTGATTGACAATCCATTTCACATGCTGTTGTGCAAATGGAATAGACAACAGGTGGAAAGCATAGGCAGTTAGCAAGACATCCCCAATAAAGGAGTGGTTCTGCAGGTGGTGATCACAGACCACTTCTCAGTTCCTATGCTTTCTGGCTGATGGTTTGGTCACTTTTGAATGCTGGCAGTGCTTTCACTCTAGTGGTAGCATGAGACGGAGTCTACAACCCACACAAGTGGCTCAGGTAATGCAGCTCATCCAGGATGGCACATCAATGCGAGCTGCGGTACGAAGGTTTGCTGTGTCTATCAGTGTAGTGTCCAGAGCATGGAGGCGCTATCAGGAGACAGGCCAGTACATCAGGAGATGTGGAGGAGGCCGTAGGAGGGCAACAACACAGCATCAGGCCTGCTACCTCCACCTTTGTGCAAGGAGGGACAGGAGGAGCCCTGCCAGAGCCCTGCAAAATGACCTCCAGTGGGCCACAAATGTGCACGTGGCTGCTCAAACTGTCAGAAACAGGCTCCATGAGAGTGGTATGAGGGCCCGACATCCACAGGTGTGGTTTGTGCTTACATCCCAACATCATGCAGGACTTTTGGCATTTGCCAGAGAACACCAAGATTGGCAAATTCACCATTGGCATCCTGTGCTCTTCACAGATGAAAGCAGGTTCACACTGAGCACATGTGACACACGTGACAGGGTCTGGAGACGCCGTGGAGAATGTTCTGCTGCCTTCAAAATCCTCCAGCATGACCAGTTTGGCAGTAGGTCAGTAATGGTGTGGGGTGGCATTTCTTTAGGGGGCCGCACAGCCCTCCATGTGCTCGCCAGAGGTAGCCTGACTGCCATTAGGTCCCGAGATGAGATCCTCAGACCCCTTGTGAGACCATATGCTGGTGCAGTTGGCCCTGGGTTCCTCCTAATGTAAGACAATGCTAGACCTCATGTGGCTGGAGTGTGTCAGCAGTTCCTGCAAGACGAAGGCATTGATGCTATGGACTGGCCCGCCCGTTCCCCAGACCTGAATCTAATTGAGCACATCTGGGATATCCTGTCTCGCTCCATCCACCAACGCCACATTGCACCACGAGTTGGGGGATGCTTTAGTCCAGGTGTGGGAGGAGATCCCTCAGGAGACCATCCGCCACTCATCAGGAGCATGCCCAGGCGTTGTAGGGAGGTCATACATACGTGGAGGCCACACACACTACTGAACCTCATTTTGACTTGTTTTAAGGACATTACATCAAAGTTGGATCAGCCTATAGTGTTTTTTTCCACTTTAATTTTGAGTGTAACTCCAAATCCAGACCTCCATGGGTTGCTAAATTTGATTTCCATTGAAAATTTTTGTGTGAGTTTGTTGTCAGCACATTCAACTATGTAATGAACAAAGTATTTCATAAGAATATTTCATTCATTCAGGTCTAGGATGTCTTATTTTTGTGTTCCCTTTATTTTTTTGAGCAGTGTATAATTGTGACATCAGAATCTCGTTAATGGCTAAGATTTACTTTCCCAATGTGTTAATTTACAACTCTCAGCTTAATTTACCAGTACAATAAAAATGCTGTTTGGGAATGATGAGTCACAGATCATCTGGAAAGCAATCCAAGTTAAACTGCTTGGGCATTTCTTAAAAATGTAGTATGAAGTCTTGTATGAAATTTCCATTGCTATTCATATTGTGAATCTGCAATAGAAAGATCACACATGTACCAATAAAAATAAGGAAGGAGGGATTTAGTTTCATATTGACGGCAGCTGCAAGCATGGTATAACTCTACAAAGTACAAATGCAATATGTTAAAGACTCAAGGAAGAGAAAGGTTGCCATATCTGTACCTATTATTAACGCTCTTCCATAACCCCATTAAGATTAATCATGAATCAAGAATTATTTTTCCTTCTCCAACCTAAACATTAGCTAGCAACAGGTGACAACCAAGTAATGCTTGGAATTCAGCATGAAAAATATGCCTGATGTGAAACTTAATTTAATGTTTTTTTCCTACAGTCATAAACTTTTTACCTGTACTGATTTCACCATCAGCCAGAAATATGTAATAGCTTGCATCCAGATTGTATCTTCCCGTAGAAGCTGGAAGGTGAATTCTTCTTCTGAAAGAACACTGGATAAGGTCGTCAGCCAGTCTCCAAGATATATTCTCCAAAGCACTCTGGAAAACAGGCAATGCAGATTTAACTTTTGTATCTCAAAAGATAAACCATCACATATATTGCAACTGCTTCTGTCAAAAGCTTATCAGGGACCTATCATTATCAAAGAAGGAATATACCAAACCCAAACAGGTTTAATTAGTTGGATTTTATGAAGCAGATAAGAAATACTTAGCAAGACAAGTCAGGGCTGCTTCCCATTATAAGTTTAGTGACCTTCTCAAATGTCTTCAGCACCATCCTGCTGGCTTATAAACTTTAATGCTTTTGAAAACTAAAGACCAACATGTAACTAGATTGATCATTTTTCAGCAGCCAATTTGGGGCTTGCTAAGCCTATTGATCACATAATTAAACAAAAACTGGATCCTTCAAATATGATATGGAATCATTCAAAGAATACTTCAAACCTCAGTCCTCTCAACTCCGTTATCATGTGCCGTCTTTACCAGTTTTCTACAATACCAGTAAAAACAGGTATACACTGAACTTGTCAGGAATGAGGCAATGATTTCTCTAATATTTATTGTTGCAAAATGAAGCCAACTGAATGCAAACACCTTGATCCAAATAAGGACCTAAAATCTTGATAGTGCATTTTTTTTCCCTCCGAAATATACTAATCTGTGTGTAGAATAATAACAACCATATCTACATTCTGTAGAAACAGTTGAAGAAAGGCCCTATTTATTGCTTTGTGCAGCAACATTATATAGAACAACTGCATACAGACATATTAAGTTTAGAATTCTCCATTACATACTACTGTGCAAAATGCATAAAAATAACTCTGCAGAGAGCCAGAGACAGGATAAAGTTTCCTAAAGTGCAACCCCTTCAAACAGCTTCTTTAACTTTTGCAGTTGTTTTCCATGATGCAAGAAGATTTTCATACAGAAGTCCAGATTCTGTATGACAAAACGGGACAAAAATCACAGGTCTCCATGGATTTTGTTAGCAAGACAACTTATCTTGACATGTTTGTTTGTACTGTGCAAGGTATTTTGTAATAAGGGCATTCAGAGTTCAACCCTGTAATAACATGAAATTACAGTACCTTCGAGTCAAATTCTGGATAAGATCGCCCAACCAGGAAAGCTGTCCTGATGACAGCATGATGAACTTTACTAATGCAAAGATATGCATCATCACCACCACCCTGGAAATAACAAAGAGATTATTAGACTCTTTTTCCACTTTACTTTGCCAGTCTATATGGCCCACATTCAAATTTAGAGTAAGTTAGTAATTAAATCCAGCCTCCCCAAATGGCATCCTCTAAACATGTTACATTAGGCATGCATTTAACATGCTAGCTGTGGTTTAGTCATTTCACAAATTGGTAATTTTCATTTTTTTAATATCTTCTTTCTATCCATATTTTTTTTTAAAAAGCGCTGTTTATCACTTGTGGCAATATAGCACCTTGTGATCTTTGTAACTGCATTGTGCAAGTATGATTCTAAAAAAGGCTTGAATTGTGAGAACCATGAGAATTGTACATCAATCTACAAGCATTACTAGTTGTAAATTAATTTGGAAGGTATCAGGTTGGAGAAGGATGAGCTAGAGATGCATCTCTTTGATGCTTTATTTATGGTAGTAAACGCAAAGCTATGAAAATCATTATGTTCCATTTTAAAGGACAAATACCGGTGGCTGAAAAATCTGGTAAAACATAATAATGCAGGGTTTCATTAAAATAGTTTAGGGATAAGTTCATAAGAAATGAGGCTTAAATAAATATGTACCATTGGCCCAATAAAAAAGAGAATATGCTAGTAATTATGCAACATTTATCCTATTATCAAGAGTTAAAGAGTCTTCACGGAGCTTGGATATTAATGCACAACCTCCCATAATTGCCTGAGAATTCCCTCTCCCACATATTTTCAATTATCATAATCTCACTGCAACATTTCCAATAAGAATGCTAGAATCTGAGATTTCATGATTGCACAAGATTTTGACCACTTTTAATGTGCTTAACTTGGGCAGAATGCAGCTAGAATAGATGCTGGGCTAACCTTTTTTTAAAAAAAAACTATCCCTGCTACAAGCTATGTCAGAAAAGCATTACTTATCATGGGCAGTTTAATGAACAAATTCATGTAGGAAAAATTTTGATGAACACATTGTCAGCTTTGGAAGCCATATTACTACCAGAAGCTTCCACGCTGCCACATTCCTGTGCCTGGGAAAGTAGGAGGGGGGGAATGGTAGAGTGTTGGTAGTTAGACATAATAGCATGCTTCCCTTCGGTCAAGGTCATGTTATTCCTGCACCTGAAGGAGGACTGGTTGAAGGGATGTCTCTAGCTGGGGTGGATGGTGATTGGACCATGTGATGGACTGATGGGTGCAGGGCTTTTGAATTACTAAGGGAAAACCCGGAACTCTCCGATTTCGGTTTCCCCAGATGTGCCAGTATACTACCCTAAATAAAAGGAAACGTTGAGAAAATGCCCGTTGCAGAGTTTTTAATTGGAGTTGAGTTTTTCTGGAATGCTGACACACCACCCTTTTGCTCATGCGCACTATATAAATTACCCAAGTTAAAACACTAATAAACGACCACAGGAGTAGCCTCAAAAGGTGCTGCCATTTTTCCAGGTGTCAGAAGACTTACTAACCATCCACTGATCATGAGATAATGCAAATGCAATATAGCCTTCACTGGGACCACTCATTTCAATCCACACGGAGTCATTATCTTGCTTGAAGGAGAGAAAGAAGCAATTGTTGGATTTAGGATCACAGTGTGTTGGATTTCTCACACAGAATTTGCGATCTCCACAGTCTGAAGAGTTGAACTAAGGAGACAAAAAGCAAGGTTATATTACTCCACATACCACTGCTGGAGAAATGGGGCATTTTCAGAGCATCAGTAAGTTATAGGATTTAAGGGAAATACATTTCCCACAACCACAAAGTTCTATTTACCGATTAAAAATTGTGCCCCTAAATACTTTTGTGGCTCTCGGCACAAGAACCATTTAATAGATGAGCCTATATAATCACACAATAGTAGAATTTGGTTAAGGGGAATGTAAAATAAAATCAAGAGAAGAACTGGTAGCAGAGGGATAGGCAATGGTATTCTTATTTATAACTATTAGAATGATTTAAAGTAGATAAATAAGTTTATGGTTTTGTAAGACTGAATTTGAAATAGAATTGTATGCAGATGATGAACATGTAACTGCTAAAAGGTATAAAGTTTTGCTGAAATTTGAAATAAGAAATAAGAACAAGTGAAAATGTATGATACAGGGAGCTAAAAATCTAGTTATACATTTATTTGTATTGCAATGTTTCTAGGCAGCCCATCTTCCTCAAGGAACGATTCTGAGCAGCGTACAGTATAATCAACATATAAAACAGCATATAAAATTAATAATAAAACATTAAGATTAAAGTAGGATTAAAGGTTTAAAAAATTGTAAGATTATAACATTATAAAATTTTATTTCAAAGAACGAAAAATAAGAATTCCAAGATGGTCATTTAACGTTGGTAATAGGCGGAGAGAGGATTCTCATGGCACCAGCCATCCCCACGGTTACATGGACCTTTGTGTCCCCTCCAGCAAGACCAGGACAGCATGAGTCCATCTCACCCTTAGAAGAAGGATGTTCCATAATGTAGAGGGAGTGGCAGAGAAGGCGTTCTTCCTAGACCCTGCCAGTCAAAATTATTTGACTGACAGGGCCTGCAGTGTATCCTCCCTGCCTGATTGAGTGGGTTGGGCTGATGTGATGGGGCACAGCTGGTCCCACAGGAAGCCTGGCCACATGCCATGTAGAACTTTATAGGTTATGACAAATACCGGACCCAGTGCATTTTGCGGACCAAAGCTTTTGTGAGTCTAACAGGATCCTCAAGTTATGCACTGGGTCTAACAGGGCTAGTGTGACTCCATCCAAGACCGAAAGTGATAAACTCCTAGATACAGGGGGCCCACGCACAGCCACTCTGCCTTACCAAGGTTCAATTGAAGTCTCTTATTCCCCATCCTGACCCCCACAGCCACCAGACACCATGAAAGTATGTCCACTGCATCACTCACTTCACCCAGGAGGGAGATACATAGCGGATATCATCAGCATATTCGTGATACTTTGTCCCCTGCTGAGAAGTGATCTTACCCAGCAATTTCATGTACATGTTAAAAAGGAGTGGAGAAAGCACTTAGCTCTACAGCACCCCACAAAGGAGGGGCCATGAAATAAAACCTGGAAAATTTCAAAAACACACACGGATTCCGTAGTTTTTAAAAATTAAATCGAGACCAGAGGGTTGGTTTTTTTTTGAGGAGGATCGAAGAACAAATCCCAATAAGGATTTTGTTCTTATACCCGATAATTGCTGCAAGATTATTCTATGAACAAAGATGGAAAGATTCAGCATTATCCCACAATAGAGGAATAACCATTAAAGATGATGGAACTTCTTGAGATGGCTAAATTGACTCAAATATGAAATGAGAAAAAATAGTATCTATTTATTGCTGGCTGGAAACCCCTTATGAATTTTTTGCATAAAACAGAAAAAAAAGCTTATAGTTTATGGTTATAATTAATTAAATTATAGAAAGAAAAGAGTTATGTTGTAACCATAGAGATAAATTTGTAATTGTACTGATATTATATTGACATTTTGTAATAATATACTGGCATTATATTAGTACTTATAATTCAAAAGTACAACTTTATATCTTTTTTCTTTTCTATTTTTGCTAATGCGTTTTTCTTTTATTGCACTTTTAGCTTTGTTTCTTTTCCTCCTCATTTTACATTACATTAGTTTCTAATCTTTCTTTTCAAAAATATTAGTATAAAATTATATTTTGGAAGATAAAAACTGAATTTATCTTTTTATATGTAATTTAATCAGTTCTGTTTTGTTGTTTTGGTTCATTCTTTTCATATTAAAGCATTTTTAAAGAGTTCATTTTTCTGGCAATTATTATGCTCTAAGCCTCAAATCCACAATTCTGTTTAAGCCAGATTCTTGACATCACAGCAACAGAAGTCTATAATTTGGGATGCACACTACAATTACAGTCCTAGTCAGATACTTAAATGTACAATACGGATATAGATATTTATTCTGTAAAACAATTAAAGGCTTTTTAAATCAACACAAAGTGCTCTAGTAATTACTAACTCTATGCAGGTTAAAATGCACAGAGGTCTTTTTTTTTTTTTAAGAGGACAGAATTTTGGTCATTCTGCAAAAAGCCTAAAAGAAATTATTTTTTAAAAAAAATTCTATAGCACCACTTTATTTAGATAGCCATGACAGTCATCTTGCCATATAAATTTTAGATAGATAGATGGATGGATGGATGGATGGATGGATGGATGGATGGATAGATAGATAGATAGATAGATAGATAGATAGATAGATAGATAGATAGATAGATAGATAGATAGATAGAATAGATAGATAGATAGATGGTAGATCGATAGGTCGAGAGAGAGAGAGAGAGGGAGAGGGTACCAATATCTAGGAAGTGTGCTCATGATAACCCACACCTTACCTAATCACTTCCCATTTAAACCACAATGTTTGAATCACTCTATATGGACATATAGTTGAAGTCTCCAACTGGTCCAGCATGAACTGGTCCAGCAGTGTGTGCAGTTCTGAATGCTCTATATTTTGCTCGTGTTACACCACTGCTGTGTGAGAGCTGCACTGGCTTCCGGTTTATTTTGGGGTGCAATATAAGGTGATAGTTTTCACCTTTAAAGTCCTGCACGGTACAGACCATGTTATTTAAGATATTTTCTCTTCTCAATGACATCTAACCATCCTTCCACATGGTGTAAGGATGGGTGTGGCTCAGTTCCCCCCTTTTAAACATTGCCATTTGGTGGCACCTAAAAAGCTCTTTCTGTAGAAACACCTCATCTATCAGACAGTCTCCCCTTGAGTTATGGAGGATCCCTATCATCTCTGCCTTCTAGAAGGTTGATAAGACCTGGCTTTTTTCTCGGGTTTTGAGCTAGGATGGGAAATGAGCTCAACATTTTTCTTTTTGAGATGCAGTATTAGAGTGCCTGATGCTAGGTTAGAGCTTTAATTTTGTTGTATTTTTTGTCATATGTGTACGTGGCTGATAGTTAGGGTTTGTTTTATATAACATGAGCAACCATATCAATGTTTAAGTAAATAAAGCAACCGAATATAAAGGAAACTCTAGTATAGAAGTATAAGAAGTAAATAAATATCCTAATCATTTTATCAATATTAGGATGTCATTGCTGGAAAGTTACTTATTAAGTGCAATTGTTGATAGTCCACTAAAATGCTACTGGATATGGCCAGCAATATGCATCAAATCAAGTTCTATTTGCAATTCAAATTAATACATCATTTGAGCAAAATCTATCAAACCAAAACCTTAAGATACACATTTAATAAAGGTTGTTTATTTTTTTTAAATGCTTTCAGACTTATAGGAGATATGGAAACAGTCAGACCTCACTTGGTAGGGTAGTTTATAGCCTTGGAGCTGCATCTCAAGTTCCTGTCATATTGATCTCTTATTATGGCAGGAAAGAGAAAACATTCTTCCCCAAAGCCATGAACTCCAGTCACTCACATCTGGAAACATGTGACTTTTCAAAGAACTTCTTTGCATATAACATGTGCCATTATAGGCTCTAGACGGCACTTTGAATTTTGTCCAGAAACAGATCAATGGTGACATCAATGAACTTTCCAACTTTCTAAAAGGAGCCACGTATAGAATGCACTACAGTAATACAGTAATTCAAGCAGGATATAATTAAGGCATGCATTACTACGGTCAGATCCAATATCTCTAGGAATGCATGCAGTTACACACTAGATTTAGCATGCAAGCATACTTCTAGCTGTCACTGAAACCCGAGCAAATTCAGTCCTAAACAAGGAGTGCTCCAAAATGCACAGCTGAATTTGAGGAGTTTGTAATCTTGGCTAGATTGAATATGTTGCTCTGCATTTTTCCATTAACTTATTTATTGGGTTTATGTGCTGCTCCAGGTACAGATGAGTGAGTGTAGATATAGGACCTAACATTTGTAAATCAAGTTAAACATTGCAATATCTAGTAAAAAAGCAAAGTCACCATAATAAAAACATCTAAGCATGCCAAAACTCTAGGCAGCCTCTCCCAATTTTATTCATTTATTTATATTAAAAAGTTGTATGCTGCATTTCAAGAGAGTTTGGGCAATACAAAACCATAATTAAAATAGTGAGATAGGAACCCCAAACATCACCCCTTAAAGCCATTCTTACAAGAAGGGCATATATTTTACCAAGGTATCCCTAAATATTGTACCCAATCAGTCTGAACTTTGACCCAAAAGGGTTTAAAAATTATCTCCATTCCAAAACTTGTGGAGCCAAGATAAAAAAAAAAAAGTACTTTCCAACCAGTAATTGTTACCTTTGTAACTGCTACAAAGAAGTTTGAAAGTCATTTTTTAAAGATATTTTTCTCTCATGCTTTTTTGTTATTCATTTTCATATTTACAAAAATATAATCTTCTATAATCATTTTCTGTTTCTTCTTCTATGTTTCAGTAGCTTTTAAACTTTTTTCTAAAATCTTCTTTTAATAAAAAAAAATTATTAAGAAAAGATAAATATAACCCACACAAAGAAAAGCTCTTTTGGGGCGCTCCATAATTTTTAAAACTGGGAAGTGATCCTGAGAAAAGCAGTTTAAGAAACACCAATCTAGATAATGCATATGAAACTCAAATAAGGCTTTGTACAAATATTTATTCATGAAATGTATACATTGCTTCAATACATTAGCAATACTCTAGGTTTTTCTGCTATGTGTAAGAAAATGCAGCAATAACAACAATCCATTAACTCATTCCTACTTACTGGCTGGCTTATGGAAGAGACAGGCAAGGATGTTGGAATAGTCCAATCCGTAAACATTGTTGTCAAAGGAACCATACTAGGTTGAGAAATCTTAGGACCAGGAATTTTTACCCAATAGATAATGAATTTTTGTACAACTGTGAGTCTGTGAAGAGACAAAGCCTCTTAGTTAACAACTGTAAAGATACCTAACACAGACATACAATACCCTTTTAAAAAATGATCCCACCAAACATCCATCTAAATTAACCCAGAAAATCTACCATTTGTTCCTTTAAGAGTTATTTAAACCCATTCCAGAGTTATTTAAATTTTAATTCCTAATTAAAAAGTGGTAGGAGGATTAATCATAACCAATGACTGATAGAGGCAAAAGTCCCAGGGATTCATACAGATCTATAACAAATGTTAAAGGAAGAGACCATATCCAATCTTTGTGGTATTTATTCTCCAGATCGTTTGAGTTTCTTAACTGTATTGCAGGTGATCAGTCTAGATCAGTGGTAGCTAACCTTTTTGGGCTTGTGTGCCAAAAATTGTGCGCACACTTGCACACTCACACTCGCATGCCAGCACCTAAAAGGCAATGCGCATGCCCCCACGCCCCCTAGGCATGCACACGCAATCCCCACCCACCCACCCCTGCCACCCCCTTACCTGCACTGCACCTCACAGCTGATTTTTGGCCGGTTTGAGGCCTTTTTCGGCCTCCCAGAGGCTTGAGGAAGCCTTCTGCAGGCTTTGCAGGCCAAAAACTAGCCCCGTTTCGTCACTTCTGGTATTTTCGGAAAAATGGGAAGTGATGAAACGGAGCTAGTTTTTGGCCTGCAAAGCCTGCAGAAGCCTTCCTCAAGCCTTTGGGAGGCCGAAAAAGGCCTCAAACCAGTCGAAAATCAGGCGCACAGTGAGGTAAGTTTGCCTGCAGCTTGTGTGCTGGCACAAATGGCTCTGTGTGCCACCTGTGGCACATGTGCCATAGGTTTGCCATCACAGGTCTAGATACAGAGAAACTAAACTAATGAAAAGAAAATCTTCCCAATGTCTACATACTGTTTATACTAGCCTTCAGACTAGAAGCTCTGAGACAGCTCCTAATTACCTAGAACAGTGGTTTTCCACTTGTGGTCTGTGGACTCTGGGGGCTGTGATGTCAGAATACAGAATAACAGAGTTGGAAGGCATCTTGGAGGTCTTCTAGGCCAACCCCCTGCCATTTCAGACAAAGGGTGGTCCAATCTCCTCTTAAAAACTTCCAGTGAGGGAGAATTCACAACTTCTGGAGGCAAGTTGTTCCACTGATTAATTGTAATGTCAGAAAATTTCTCCTTAGTTCTAGGTTGCTTCTCTGCTTGATCAGTTTCCATCCATCGCTTCTTATCCTCCCTTTCTTTGTGGCAATCCCTTAGATATTGGAACACTCCTACCATGTCACCCCAGTCCTTCTTTTCATTAAACTGGATATACCCCATTCCAGCAATTGTTCTTTATATGTTTTAGCCTCCAGTCCCCTAATCATCTTTGTTGCTCTTCTACTGCACTCTTTCTAGTGTCTCAACATCTATTTTACATTGTGGCGACCAAAGATGGATGCAGTATTCCAGGTATGGTCTTACCAAGACATTATAAAGTGATATTAACACTTCACATGATGTTGATTCTATCCCTGTTAATGCAGCCTAGGATTGCCTTGGCTTTTTTGGCAGCTGCAGCCCACTGCTGGCTCATATTTAGGTGATACACTCACAGGAGGTTTGCAAAGGCTTAAAGAAGTGTTATGATTTAAATCTTGAGTTATGTCTTGTGGGGTCTGTGGCCATAAAAGGTATTTTAAGCGGGTCCATGGTGAAGAAAAGTTTGAGAACCACTGACCTAGAGGGTTCAACCTTGGTTCAAGTTGAGCTGAAGCTCTTGCCAGCTGCTTTGTACAAATAAAACAGGGATTCCAACACTGATATGTGAAGACTGAAAGGTCATACAGGACTTTGTCACCATGACATTCAGTTCAGAGATTTGCATATCTTTCATATTCTGCAGGCCATACATATTTTTGAAAGGAATACATCAGAACATCTAGGAAAATTATTTTAATACACTTACAGAAATTGTACATTCTTTGGTGCATCTCTAGGAGCAATCCAATAAGCATCCATATGGTTTTTCTTAGAGTCACTGGTGTGACTAACAGCTGAATTCTACAAAGTACAGAAGCCCCATTTTAGCATTACATAATGGCTGGATTCATACATGGCACTTTATCAAGCTACTGTATTAACAATAGCTTTTTGATAAGCCGCAAGCACTTGAGTACCAACAATGCATCAAGTCAGAAAGCAAAATATATAAAGACTTAGTAAAATGTATGAACCAACTCAATTATTAGGTTTATAAACCATACTAAATTCCAATCTAACAATTCATAACTGGTTCACAAACACCAAGCCATACAAAAACTAAATTTTGGTTCAACACACCATAGTGCCGAACAACTTCACTGGAACAACTAGGGTTAATGTACAAGCAATCCCATATGAAAGGCAGTCTGAGTTCCTACATCCTAAACCATTTAAGGCTATAAATGTATGCACTAGGAGTTTTATTCTACCTAAAATCGGATTGTGTTATCAAATGATTTCCCTCAGCTTTTAATTTTTAAGATTTCAGTTGCTCAGTGTTATTACATATTTTAATATTTCATTTTAATGGTTCTTTTATTTGAAGGTGCTTTTACTATTTTATTATATTTTCATATTATAGCTTCTAGCCTACATATTCTCAGGAAGGCCATCCCTATAAAGAGCTGTGTTACTCAGAGGAAGGCAGCAAATCATGTTTCATTTTAATATCTGCATACCACCTGTTTAAAATTTCAACCACTTGAGGATTTATTTCTGTTATCTGAACCCACCAGAAACTCATCAATATTACTTAATCTGCACATTGCTCTACAATCTGAATATGTCCATCAGAAAAAGATAAGAAGGATTCTGAAAAGTTAAGTGAGATAAAAACCACACAGGGGAAGGATATATAAAACATGGCAATATAGTGTGCTAACAGCTACTAACTTATTCTGCATCGGATAACCAGCAGAGGGAACCCCGATATTTAAACTTAATCTATAAAGGAAAAATAGTCTATAAAGGAAAAGGTATTATTATTAAAGCATCATTAGTGTTGATTAATTCCAATATGAAACTGATGCAAATATAAAACTGTAATTTAAAGCAACAGTGTTAGGAATGCTCCCTACATTATTTATTGCTAAAAGCTAGTCAAAATTGGCTGTCAGAAGCCATTTTCAAGATTTTCTTACCTTTACATGTCCACATTTCAGGAGCTGAGACCGTTTCCGATCAGCTAATGCAAAAGAACCAATGGGCGGGTCTTCCAAGCGGTCAGCATTACGAGCTTGTAGCAAAAAGCCTTCAAATGCAGGGCCAGAAAAACTAACTAAAATCAAGAATTTGAGAAAAGGAATGGAGATGAATCTCAGTTTATTCTGGCCACAAGAGCAGGCCTCAAATCCAGCATTTTGTAAAATTGCCAACTGCCAGGTGTATATGGACTTCTACTCCCAGAATTCTCTTCAATGGCTAAGGTGGTTATGGGAATTATAATACAACTAGAACACGTTTAAAATACAATGTAAAAACCTGGAACAATGTTAGCTTGTCTTTTCGTGTTTACCACATAATTTGAACGTTACACAGTCACCCTTTTATTTTTATTTTTAAAAAAACAGATACTATAATCTAAAACAAACTTCAGTTACAGAACCTGAATTAAGACAGACAAGATGGCAACTTCCTAGGATGGTAGCATGGTAATTTAGAAAACACTCTTGAAAAACCTATGTTGCTAGGAAAATAAAAGTGGCATACCTGCCCTAGGCTCCTTCTGGAAACTCCTCAACTTTTAAGAGTGGAAAAACCAGTAGAGCCTATTATAAATGTTGTTTATAGTTTATATGTTCTCGCATTAGGAATGAACCATTGTGAACTCAAACTGGGCCCAACAAGTCATTCCAACCCATTAGGGAAAGCTAACCTATAACCAGCATTTCACACACATTTCTGAAGGAAACAGCAGTGGGGAAAAAAAATTGTCAAATTTGAATGACTGCCCATCCCACCAAGAAAGGAGTGATCTGTGTGCCACATGCAGCACAATTAAAAAAGTAAACATATAAATGTTCATATTTAAAAAGTACATTTAATCTGCGACATGACCAAAATTGAGCCCAAAATTTCTGTTGCTAAGCCAGACATTTGTTAACTGAATTTTACCCTATTGTACGTCTTTTCTTGCAACCGTTGTTAAATGAATCACTGCAGTTGTTAAGTTAGGAACATGGCTGTTCAGTGAATCTGGCTTTCCTAGAGAAAGGCCCAGAGACACTGCAACCGTCATAAACTTGAGTCGCTTGGCAAGCATCTAAATTTGTGACATGGGGATGCTGCAATGGTCATAAGGATGAAAAATGTTTATAAGCCATATTTTCAATGCCACTGTAACTTTGAACGGCCACTAAACTAATATGTATGCTGAGGACATATATATAAACAAGCACAAAAACATGAGAAGATGGTGTTAGCACCATAAGAGAGCCTTGGCGAAAATCAATACCTTTCACACGATCTCCTGGCTTAAATTCTGTCACATTGACTTCAATGGTATGCTTGGGAAATTCCTGAGGTGACCCTCCGTGAAAAGGCAACATGGAGTCACAGGATTCGGATACTCTTCCATCTGGGTAACCAACTGATTGATCAGAAAGGCACGCAAGCAGCCAAGCAATAAAAATTATTCTGGAAGATTTCATCTATCAAAACAAATTAAGAGTGAACATCACAGAGCTGTTGTCATTCCTTCCTTCACATTTTCCCAAAGCAGCCTTGCAGGAACCTTGATCTTTTAAAGTTTAACCCCAACCTCTTTCCTTTTTCTTAAATGAATCAGAACAATCATTTTGATTCGCCTCCAGAATTAAAGGGTCTTGGGTTATTTTGAACATCTCTTACTATAAACTACTGAAACCTACTGTGCTGCATACATGAACAGGTTATATACATGTATGCAACATGTACATGAACAGGTTTTGCAGGCCCCTACCAGTATACAACCTTGTTAATTCTCTGTAGGCCCAGATAAAATGAGCCAGTATAGCCACCTGCTCAAAGTCAAAGAATAAGAGATGGTTTCTATGATGATAATTTCTGCCAGGAACAGACTTTTACCATAGTTTACTAACATATATAGGTAGTCCTTCGCTTATGACTGTGATTAAGCACACAATTTTAGTTCTATGTTGTGATTATCATAAAACAAACCATTGTGTGACTGCACACGATTTTACGACATTTTTTGAAGTGGTTGTTAAGCAAATGCAGGAGTTGTCAAATGAATAGAGTGGTCTTGAAGCAAGCCCATTATTTGTCATGTAAATGCCAGTTTCTGGGGAAAAGTTGTAAATCGCTATCACATGATTGTGGGATGCTGCAAACGGCCATAAATGTGGGTCAGTTACCAAGAGCCCAAAAGGCAGTTGTGTGATTACAAAGGGACCCCAGACACTGGAACTTCAAATCCAGGTTATAAGTAGCTGTTTTAAGGTCCACCATAACCTTGAATGGTGACTAAGCAACCAGTTGTAAATCAAGGACCATCTGTCTTCCAAAGGTTACTTTTCTGCTATTCCTTTCTTCTGGCCAAGGAAGACTATAGCATTCTGCTTTTCATAAGGAAGAGAGACCTTACCTTCGCTAGAATCCCAAAGGATAGAGTGGGCCAAGAGATAGTCACTGGAGTAAGATTCCCTAGTGAGCTTCATGGCCAACTGGATTTTTGTACTAAATTCTTTCCAGCTGGTTTCACATCAGTTTCTTAATTCAGTGTGCCCACTTTCTTCCTTCATTCCCCATGTTGCAAGATATTGATTCATTTCTTTGCTTTCACTTTATTAAATTTAGGCAACCTGGCTCATGATTACTCTGGATGGCTTACACTTTAAAGAAACATAAAAATAAAAATAAAGAATCATGCACAAACAGGGGGGAAAATGCAAAGCACACCAAAGAGACAACTTATGGGGTCTTTAAACCCACCCTGTCCCAAGGTCTGGGATCCCACCAAGTTTTCAAGGGCTTTCAGAATATCATCAGGGTGGAAACAGATGAGTCTCCAGGGTGATGTAACAAACAAGGCATTCTCCTCTGATCCCCATGGATGACACTGTTCAATCAAAGGGACTTGAAGGGCACACATTCTACCTGATCTTTGTGGATTAATAGCTCACAACCCACTACTTATCTCCATTTTAAAATCTGGGACTAGATATATTGTGACTTCATTCTCTTTGGGTCCTTATAATTATTTCTTTCAATGTTGTAATTATCACCAGTGAGCAATATTAAAAACTTATGTTCTTTCAACCTCAGTTTAAAATACTCTAACCCCAATTTAATATCCTTAACTACCATCCAAGAGAGAATTGCCATACTGTCTTAGGTCTATTCGATCTGCAGTTAAATACTAACTGCAATTTAAACAAATACTTCCATTCATGTTTTAATTTCAAGACAACCCATCATTGTTCCAACGAGTGAGAAATGCTGACACAACTGAAACATACATTTAGAATGTAATAACCATTGGTCTTTGGGATTTTTTAAATGTAGATTTTTTTCAAGAAATAAAGATTTAACAAAGAATGACACCACTTGAGTTTTGGCATTAATTTAGTTGACATTCTGCTTTAAAATGAAAGACACTATTTTATTGTGTATTTTACATATTTCACCGCATATTGCATTCCTTAAATTTTTAAATACCCTTTCTCCCCATTTTTACCATAAATTAAACAAACAAATATTACCTAAAGCAGTTAACAACAAGACCTGGTAACAGCTAAGAGCAGAAAAGTTGAAGAGTCAAAGGAGGTAATTCTGGCTGCACAAGACCAAGCTTTAAAAACAAATGCATACAAGGCCATAATTGAGATGACAGCAAGAGACAACAAATGCTGCCTCTACAAAGAAGCTGAAGAAATAGTAGATTGCCAGGTTAACTGCTGCAAGAACACACAGACTGACTACAAAAAATAGCATAACAAATTAACAACAATGGAGCATTGGAATTGGAATATCTGCAATGGAATACCACTTCCTCCAAGCAATAATTGGTGGGACCACAAAACAGACAAATAGAAAATGAAGAAGCTACAGTGCTCTGGGACTTTAGAATTCTGACAGGCAAGCACCTGCCACAACATATCCCAGGCTTAACAATTGTTAATAAAAAAGATTTTTAAAAATCTGGATATTGGATGTGGCAGTTCCTGGGCTCAGCAGAAGAGAAGAGAAAGAATTCAAGTAAATAAAGATCTGCAAATTGAAGTAGAACGAGTGTTGCAAAAGAAAGCAAAGATGGTACCCATATTAATAGGTGCCTTGGATACATTCGAGAAACCTCTGAAGCCTCACTTGAACATCATCTGTACTGACAAAACAACCCATCAGTCAATTGCTAAAGGCAACTTTACTTGGAATAGCGTACATCCTGCAACAATATCTTTAACACCATCAAACAACATCATCTACCTATCCCAGATCCTTTCTACAATTCATTTGCATACCTTCCATTGTACTTTTGTTATGTCTTAATTTTATATGATACTCACAGAGCTTACTTAAAAGGGATACAATTAGTATATATGTATTTGATTTGTATCCCACCTTTATTACTTTATAAGAAACTCAAGACTGCCAACATATATAAATACCTTCCTCCACCTTGTCATAAGATTATATTTCACATTTCTAGACCATCCATCTCTTTCAAGGAGATGCCGGTAACACTCATTCTTTGAATTCATAGGCAAATAATCAAAGTTCATTTCATGTTTGAGCTCTTTACAAATATAAAAATCCTTGAAGAGATGAATGAACTTCAAAAATTTTCCTCAAAAAAAGGAGTCAGCACTGTGAGTCACTGATTTGTGATCACACATCAGTGTGGAAGAACTGAGTTAAGAAGTGCTAGGAATTTCTCAATCAAGCTGGTTTTGAAGAAAAACTCTTAAGCGTCAACCCCATTCAATTGGGTTAGAAGCATAGATGGGCTAAACTAATAAAAGCTTGTCAGTGTGATTGTGTTATACAGGGATCCTCAAACTTGGCAACTCTGTGGATTTCTCTGTGGAATTCTCCAGCCAGTTGACAAGTTTGGAGACATCTGGTTTATATATCTCCCTCCAGAGAATTAGACAGGTATTTGCCTGAATTACTTCCGAATGTTTCTCCAAACTTCAAAAATATTACAGCCCTTTTTGCCTAAGTAATAGTATCCTGCGTATTTCCACCAAAATCCTCTTCCTTACTCTCATAGCTTATTATAGGTTTAAGTAAGCCTAACAGTCTAGAGACAGAAAAAAAAGAAACCCACAGTAATACTAGGTTTAAAAGCAGTTTAATGTTAGAGTGTTGGTTTGATCTGAGCTTAGCATGTCGCATAATCCCAGTCATAAACCATATTGGCAGGACATGTAACTCTAAACTAAGACTGGTGATAGAGTTAGACATTTGATTATTTTATTTGAAAATATTTCTATAACTCTTAGTCTCCAAAAGCAGATCCCAAACAGATCTGACCACATTCTTCATAACTGGAACAGACTAAATCCTAAGAAACATATATTAAAAACAAAATCACAGGGACATATGTGCTATTTATCAGTTGCTGCCTGTTACACTAAGTTACATATGTGTTATTTGAGGAAACATGTAGCAAAACATAAGCTTAACTACCTTTGAGTTACAGAGAACTTATCAGGTATGAGCTTCATTTCACCTATTAATATTTTCTGGGTTATAGCAAGTTCAAATTTATAGTCTATGAAGGGTTCCATGACACCCACTCAAACCTCATCAAGAGAAGAAATGCCGATAAGCAACTTGAAGGCAAGGACTGCATCATTTTTCAACATTTCTTTTGATAGCCCGCCAAATAAAATCCTGTCTATATTGTAAAGGACAATATATGACCACTCGAAGAAAACTACTTTCTCATATTATATTTATGAAACTTGCAAAAGAAGCCATTTCCCCCTCTGTTTCTTGAATCATTTACCAGTACTATATTAACTCTATTTGAAATGACACCATTACATCATCATACACCAATGACGATATTAATGAAATGATGGTTAAAGAAAGAAGCAAAATATATATCTGGGGAGAAAGAGAACTTGAAGAGCAGGAAGAAGGGAGGTAATTTTCTAAATTCCCCTTGATAGAAAAAGCAAGTTCTTTGACAACTACTCAAAAGAACCATCTTTATTAAAGGAGCTACAATGGTTCTGTAACTTGAAGAAATGGACTGCTTTTCATAATCCAATTACAGTAGAGGCAAATCTGCTGTCCAAATATCAATTTCCGCATATTGGCATCACTTGATTAATGTGGCTATTTTATTGTCTACACATAGAAAATTAAAAAAAACAGAATGAGGGTTTTGTGAGAGAACATAGCTTGATTTAGGTTCTTAAGAAGGAATATGGAAGAAATGGTCATGAAAGAGCAGCTGAATTACATTTCAGTAAGGGTGAAGATTAGGCTTGGAGGACCAACCCAGAATAGTCATCATCTCTCTGCCCAAATGTATCTTAAAGGAACATTGTGGATAAAGTGGAATGCTAGAATTACTGAAGAATAGGTAGGATATAAATGTAATGAATAAATGTTAAACATAATTGCTAAGTAATAAAATATAGTAGCCAATGAAAAATCATCAGAATTTAGTATGCAGGATCAATGTTTTACTAAAAATAAAATATATTTATGCTATTATCCACATTATTTTCAGAGTAAGGTCAGAGAAAGAACAAGATTCAGGAATAATTCAACTTTCCAATGAACCCCTGATTATAAAGAAGACTGTGTATTATTTTGTTTGAAAAAAAGAAAGGTAACATATTCAGAATGATAATGTTGTCACTCATTGGCCATTGAGAAAACTAGACTACTAGGTTATTGCTATATCAAGATGACCCATTTGGACTTTACAAACAGAGCTCCATATACAAGGCCGAGTCAGAAAAGAAGGGTCTGATAACTGATAACATTTGAGAGAGACAGATTAAATACAATTGAGCTTCTAAAAGAGAAAAGCCAAGCTTCACTGGGCAAAAAAGTATTTGTTCTGAAGTACACCCAAGGGTATACATTCAGTGGAACAACTCTGCCAGTTTGTGTTTAAATGAAATCTTCCAAAATATGATTTATTAAATGGCCTTTAGGTCACAATATCAATGAAAGACAAGATTATCAAGGAATGTCTACTCTGCTGATCTTTCCATCCCCTTAATTTATCAGCTTTCCTCCAAGGAGTTCAATGGGAGTATATGCTATCTCCATCACATTTTTATCCATGAATAATCTATGGTTTAAAAAAAATTAGTCCAAAAGATACTAGGTTTCAAAAATGCCTATTAAGTTTCTTGGGCATGGATTTGGCCATCTAAGCAGGAGGGAGAAATAAATCAATGAAGTTCAGTTATATTTTATAATTGAATTTGGGAAGCAGATTTTAATTACTGTTTCTTTGTGATTCATTTTTTCTATTTAGGAAACTTCCTATATTTCAGCTGCTTTTATAGGAGGCTTGGAAATTGCTACTCGGCTTACTACTTCTCAGTCTGAAATCTAAAAAAGTAAACATATATATTTAGGGAAATATATATATTTAACAGGTTTGTTTTAGCATTCTAAAGTTAGTTATGCAGTTTGGAGTGTCAGAGATTAACCATCAAATGCCATTCTTTCAAAGATGTTTTCAATAGAAATTAAATCAGGATAAATAGTAATGATGGATTGGAACCCTCCCAAATCTATTCCCTGAGAATAGCTAAGAATAATTAAAATAGTTTGCAAAGGTTACAACACAAATACTATACTATCTCATATCCAACAGCATCTCTAGTATCTCTAAAATTTATATTTATCTAGAATATAACATAGCGGGATTATCTAGGAATTATTTGAAAGCTTAAGAACATACTATTTTTTTGTATTTCTACTAGCAGTAAGTAGTGCTATTCATGAAGCATCTTGTTAAATATCTCATACATGAAGAGGCCAATTCAAAAACAATTTATATGCAATGTATCAGAGTGGATTTTCCACAATATTAGCCCTCTGCAACTATTTTTTTTCTTTTTGGACACTCCATTAATATTACTGAATATATATTTTCTCTCTAAAAGAAAATATGTGCTGGCTGACAGTGTTCCAAACCATACTGAGATTTCTCAATGTTGCTGATGAAAAGTTTCTCTGAAGAAACTTTCAACTGTTCATCATTGCCAACCTACGTAAAATGTAAAGTGATGCAAAGGCGTATTCTGTTTACAAAATACAGTAGAAGTGTGCTTCCAAAAGGCCTAGCCAGGGTTTTAACAACCCCCCCACCACACTCCCCCGAATATTTCTTCATTTAATACTTCACTTTCAGTGGGGGCTTCTAAAAGCAGGTGACCAGCAACTCTTTAAACCAGGGGTCTCTAACCTTGGCAACTTTAAGACTTGTGAACTTCAACTCCCAGAGTTCCTCAGCCAGCTTTTCAACTCTGGGAGTTGAAGTCCACAAGTCTTAAAGTTGCCAAGGTTGGAGACCCCTGGTTTAAACTATTCCTAGTAACGTACTTGGGTAGCTTTACTACATACCAGCCAGGGTTTAATAAAAACCCCGAACATTTCTTCATTTATACTTGACTTTCAGCGGGGCCTTCTAAAAGCAGGTCACCAGCAACTCCTCTTTAAACTACTCCTAGTAAGGTACTTGGGTAGCTTTACTACACACCAGAAGCAATAGCAGTGAACTCCTGGATACAATCTAATGAAAGCTGCCCAACACGTCCCAGGGAAGCTGTTTTAAACTAATTCAGCCGGCCTACTTTCTATAGCAACAAGTCCTTTTCGCAGCAAGGCCAGCTTCCCATAAACTTAACTCACACTCGTTGCCTTACATTAACTGGAAGCTTATTTTATGTTCTCTGTATGTTGCAGTACAGATTGCGTCTCTCGTCCGTCCTTTGCTTCTTTGAATACCGAGATGCCCAAAACACCCGTTTCTTACCTTGTCATAACACCGCATAAACTTAACCACCCAAACTTTTGCCCGAAAACACCAGCAAGAAATGAAGACTTCCTACACACAGCCTATACGCTAACGCTTATCAAGCACGCAGGCAAACATGCTTATCTATAGGCTCTTATAGCCGAGACTCTTCCTGCATCGCATCCCACAAGGGGCGGAGCCGAGAACCCGAGCGAAAGAACCCAAACGCACCTTTGGGAGTAGGTAAAGTAAGAAACTTTCACGCCGTGGGGAAAAAAAACAGGAGAATGACCTTCTCGTCCAACCTCTTAACATTTGTTCGATGGCCTGGATATTTAATGGCGATTCCTCTGGAAAAAAGAAGGTAGAATGCTTATGGAAACAACGACTAAAGTTCCGCAAGGCGCCGAAGACATAAAGTTGTTGCAGAATTATGTCTTAACGTGGGAACCCTGCTACCACACCCCTAAGGGAAACACACAGCTATGCATAATTAAGACTTACACCCGGTTGGTCGAACGATTAGAATAGTAAAACACCAACCTCCGCTTACTCGAGAGAAAACAGTGGACTCCCTGGATCTTGCTTCTAACTAAGATCGGATTGCATGTTAGGTTTTACAGCTGCCTGCCTTTTTTGCTGAAAAGTCTCATCATAATGGGACGATGTTGAAAACAAAAGGGAACATACCTGAGCAGATTCGTACTTAACCTTAGATTATGTTGAAAGGGAATGATATGGAGATGGTTAAACAGATGGGCAGGTGACCAACAAATACAATTGTGAATATGTAGCTGACTTTAAAAAGATTGCTATAGAAAATTGATGGCAATACTTTGGATCTCAAGGAGAACCAATCATTTTGTACTAAATGAAGTAAAACCAGGATGCTCACCAGAAATACTAATTGTGAGCCAAATTGATGCATGGTGGGAAGGTATCCATTTTTGTTCATTCAGCCTTTCAGATGATTAAACCACAATTTAGTAGAAGCCAAGCTGTAAACCAACATTTACAAATTAGATTGGTTAGAGAGTGAGACAATTACATCTGAACTTTTACCAGTTCTATTAACTGGTCAGAGTCTGGCTTCTTTGCTTTGGGCCAGTCACTTACTCACCCAACCCACCTCCCAGGTTTGTTGTGGGGAAAATACAAAAGGGAAGGAGCATTATGTTTGTCACCTTGAGTTATTTATAAAGTAATACAAATGAAATAAAAATCTAATAAATATTTTACACCAGTCAGAATGTCCAATGGCCAACTGATTACCATAAAGCCAATATTTGATTGTAAGTGAGGTTCACAGTGCCATTTTTACAGTGCCATTTTTAAAGTCAGTTCTATTTTGAGACAACACAAACAGGAGAACAGCTTAGTATCTCTCCGTTATCTTTTTATGCCCATTTAACCATCACCTTCCGCACCCATATATATTAGAGTAAGAAAAAGTGCAATTAGAACAGCCCCATTTATGGATTCTCTGAACTCCATTCTCCAGCAATGGGCAACAAATCTTTGATAGTTCTTATAGGTGTTCGGTTGAGTTCAACCTTTTATCTTTCAACAGTGATCCTGTAGGCATCTTTTGAGCCATTCCATCTCTCTCGGTTCCTCTGCAAACCCTAGGGAACAACAAGATCCAAGGTTGAGAGAGGGGGCACAATCCTATTCAGGACTTCTCACTCCAGGTAGGGACTAGGTTCTTGTCAGGACTATATAACAGATCCTTAGTTATAGCCCCCAGCTTCTGAAACCCATCAGGATCCATCCGCTGCCAGAGATGAACTGATCTAATAAGGTCCACATCCCTGCAGAGGGGTACAGCCTTAGAGAAATTCATCATTACCACACTCTAAGCCAGGGGTCTTCAAACTTGGCAGCTTTAAGACTTATGGACTTCAACTCCCAGAATTCCACCTCCTAGTC